GCAACATAATACTGTAATTTAGCAAAACTACCCTGTTAAAAAAACCAGCATATGCTGGTTAGGTATGTTTTGACGCTGGGATGCTGGTTTAAGCCGGTCCTTTGCTGGTTTATGCTGGTCCTTTGCTGGTGGTTTATGCTGGTCCCTTTGCTGGTTTAAACTGGTCCTTTGCTGGTTTAAGCTGGTACTTTGCTGGTTTATGCTGGTCCCTTTGCTGGTTTATGCTGGTCCCTTTGCTGGTTTAAACTGGTCCTTTGCTGGTTTATGTTGGTCCTTTTGCTGGTTTAAGCTGGTCCTTTGCTGGTAACTAACTATGTTTTGACGGTGGGATGCTGGTTTAAGCTTGTCCTTTGCTGGTTTAAGCTGGTCCAGCAAAGGACCAGCATAAACCAGCAAAGGACCAGCTTAAACCAGCATCCCACCGTCAAAACATACCTAACCAGCATATGCTGTTTTTTTCAACAGGGTAATCATTTGCAGGTAAGGCGATTCCTTTAGTCATATTTAAAAAACAATATAAGTCATTATGAACATAATTACATGTAAAGATGTACTTAAGTAGCTCAAAGACACTCTTTTTTAAAAGTTTGTTAATATGTACTAATTTTTCCACATGGCCAGTGACTAAATTCATCTAAGATTGTGAATGGAGTCTAGAGACATCTGTAAATATACTTGTTTTTCATTCAATAGCATAATGTATTAAAAAAATAGTTAACTTAATTGAACAATTTTACCTGGGGTTTGTGTGTGCTTTATGTGTTAAGATTAATAATCCCATAGTTAGCCTAGCAACATGCTAACTCTAATCCTGGAATCTAATCTAGTTATTGTGTTAGAAGGTAGCTGCCTGGCTGTAGACAGTAGACAGCAAGCTTAGAACAGAGATATTATGACTTCCTCCTTTTTAGTACAGTGACTAATTTAGATGCATTCCAAACAAATCTTGGTTCTATTCATATCTGTCTTTATTTTCTGTTACTTATTCAGAGGCCTCAAGGCACTCTGCTGCAGGGGCCCAAGTGTATTTGGACGGCTCTGCGACAGGCCTTTGGAAGACCTCTGTTTCTCAGCATCACCTACCGTTTCATGGCAGATCTGCTTGGCTTTGCCGGGCCGCTCTGCATCTCAGGCATCGTGCACCATCTCAGTAAAGAGAACCACACCATTCAGCCACCGGTAAGAACATCTCTGTCTTTTGCACCCATCTGAGCCGAATATAAAACAACTAAGAATAAGGGCAGAATGTTGGTTGGTCCAAAAGTAAAAGACACTGAAATGAAATTCTTAAATTTGGTATTTGTGTTGTTGGCATGAACAAGCACTTTTGTTCGCTTAGGTATTTTGAAGATAAAATTAGAAACCGGTGGCCATGGCTCTGTCTTTTCACATTTTCATTTTGTGTTTCAAAGCGGTCTGTCATCATGCTGCTGTCATCAGTTATTAACAAGTTCAACAGCATACTGTCTGGCTCTCGGATGTCGGATGTTGGCCTGTTTGGATGTTTTTGTATGACGTAATTCACTTCACTACATGGATTGAGTGATGGCATAACACTGATTTAAGATGAATGAACAATCCATGTAGAAATAAATGGTCTTATTTAAGCATTTATGCATTTATTTATGGGGAATCATCTGTAGCCTTTGCTCTAGAAAGGAAGTTATCCCATGTTTTTTATCCCATATAATTATTATAAATATGTGTACAGTTTTATGCAATGTATTAAATATTATTTATTTTGGTAATTTTTTTATTTATTCATTCATTCATTCATGCATTTATATTTTTTTAGAGGGGCATCAGCTGTAGCCCTTGCTCTAGAAGGGAAAGTTACCCCATGTTTTATGTTGTTAATTTATAATTATAATTCGGGACTTATTGCTCTGTCAGTGGTGGTTCTTTTTCTTTGGTTTAATTGACTCATTTGTTGCTGGTCTAATCTTTAATGACATGATATAGTTGTATAATAGAATTATAAATAGTGTCCTGTGCTTTCTCTTTAGAGGAAAATGGTGACAGCACAGTGCCATAGTAAGGAAAGACTAGTACTAGTTGCATTAAAAACTGGTTCCCTTTCAGTCGGTCACTCTCGACGTCACGTCGGAGGACCGACGAAATTGGGATCTCGCTTAGAGGGACCAATCTACTTCGAGTGTAAACTAAATGAGCCAATGCACATTGGCATGCGATTATTGCATCCAGCTGCTGCTGATCACAGCGTGAGTATAAGTAGGCAGCAGGTGTAGCGCATATTCAGCTTTTCGCTTCGGAGCCGAGCGATCACATCATTCTGCTCCTGACTACTCTACTGAGAGAAAAGACTGAACGAGTTCAGCGCGCTCTTGGAGAGCTCTTCGTGTTGGTGGACGAGTGGGTTGCACACATCAGGCTGCACTACCCCCTGTTTGTGTTGCAGATGATCATCTGTCCGGGGCGCCTCAGCACGCTAAAAG